CAAGGGGGAGAGAAAGGGTACAGGAGAAGGAGAAAAAGGGAAGGGAGAAGTGGCAGTAATTTGGATGCAGCTTCCAGGTGCCCAGCCAGCACTGCGCCCCACCAGCTGGAAGCTGCACCCATGCCACAATCGGAAGGAAGCTAAGGTGGTGGAGGGGAAGAAGCAGTCTCAAGGGTACGGCTGGAAGTTGCTCAACCCTGGAGTAGCTCCCGCCTGCTTAGCCCTGATACAGGCACTCGTGTGGGCATAGGCAAAGCCCTGGGTCTCTGCAGGCCAGATCCAGTAGCATTGTGAACTGGATCCAATGGCTCTGTGGACCAGATGCTGCCAACCCCAAGCATACATCTTTGAGTGCATATCTTATGCAGGATGCAAAGAGTTCTGCCCCCGTCTCACAAGCAGAGACCCTACAGTAAGAATGTAAGAACTGCCATTTACTGGGCCAGACCATAGGTCCATCTTGCCCCGTCTCCTGTGTCACACAGTGGCAGAGAGTGAATGCTGAAAGGGAGAGTGAACAGACTCCAGTGTTTCTCAGCATGTCAAAATACTTATGTTTTTGGTGAGGGTGGCAGCAACTGCCTTTCTGGGGTTTTGTTTGTTTATTTGTTTGTTTTGCTGCTGCTTCAATTGTTATGGCCCAGAAAGATAAGCTCTTTTGTATTTTTTAAACTCTTGATTTTTTTCAAACTAGAGTTGAAATTTAGCCGAGATGCTCAAGATTGCTATTCACAGTAAACTGAGCAGATTGAGATGACAGCTAATAGCTAGGCATCATTAAAATATCAAAAGAAAAAAATCAATCCTTTTAAAAGGTTCTTTATATAGATGCCACTGTATTCCTGGTAGGTCATCTAGTGGAGATATGAAAAACAACAAAAAATGTAGTGGATGAATTATTTCTTGAGGCAGCATTTTTTTACCTTTTGCAGACAAGGATTTTGTTCAAATTTTGACTAACCCCTGCAATTCTTCTGTTTGAAGACCAAATAATGCACTGTTTTAGTTTCCTACCTCTCATGAAAGGAAAGAGACTGTAACACAGGGAGCAAAAGAGCCCCTTCAGTTCCCCTGGGATAAGTGCTGGCGCTCTCTCTCTCTCTCTCTCTCTCCCTCTCTCTTTCTCTCTGTGTCTGTTGCTGTCTCTCTCACACGCACACACATAGCAAAATATGCCTCCATCCTCATGACCCTGAGGAAAGATTGTTACAGTCCCAGCCCAAGCCTCTCCCCAGCCTCAGAGAAACAACAACAGAACCAGCAAAATCTTCCAGCCTCCCACAACCTCGTGCTGCTTTACATTATTTTCGCTGCTGTTGTCTTCACTGCCTCCCACCCTGGCCCCAAAGCTGATGGCTTTGGTTCCCTTCGTCCCTTCCTTTATCCTGCTAGACAAAAGGCAATAGACATGATCAGGTTCTGTGTTTCCGCTTTAAAAAATCCCCTGCTGTTTCTCCAATACCAAATCCTTCACCCATTAATGTCAAAGAAAGTTTTTTTTTCTCATGATTTTTATAGCATCTCGCCTTGATAGAATACAAAGATATGCTAATATGGTCCAACTCAAAGCCACTTTATATTTTGACATTCACTTCAACTGAAAGAGGATTAAACCTGTAATTCAGAACACCTTGATCAAAATAATAAGCATAAATGGTTTGTCCAGAGCTCAACATATATTTTAAGTGTATATATTACAAGATTATAATGCTGTCTATAACCAAGTTTTTCTTTTAACAATCCCAAGAGCAGAAACTGATTTATTTCATAATTATGGTGCACCCAATTGACAACTTAATTGTAGCAAACATTCTGTTTTAAAGAACATTTCTCCTAATTCCATGTGTGTCAATTATGAGGTTGTGTTATATAAAGAAAATATTTTAACTGGTGAGACTGCCATGCCACCCTGGCCTACGCTGATTATGCACAAGCAGTCCTATTTATTAATCTTTTCTCATAAACAGTGCCCATGAAAAACTTGATGTCTTTAATGTAGTCAGTAATACAGAATTAAATAGTTTCTTTAGTACCAGCATAACTGTGACCCTGAATCCTGCAGTTGTAACTGTGCAGACAAGGCCCTTAATTTGAGAGACACTATGCCAGCAGTTCTCAGCCTTTTTAGACTTGAAGCACTCCTCAGTAAACTCAAGCTCCCTCCAGATCAGACTCTAGGCCCCCTCAGAAAATACCAGCTCTTAGTTTTCACTCATTGTTTGAGAACAGAAAAAAAACAGAGTAATTCTGTTGCTAAGAACTGAGGAAGACCACAGTGGGTCAGGATATTTTTGACACTCTGGGTTTATCTTGTGAACTATGTTTGCACAGCTAGACATGCGAACATTGTGTGGCACCTCATGGCACCTTTGAAAAGATCTCAAGGCACCCCAGAGTGCCATGGCACCCTGGCTGAGAATCACTTCACTATGCCAACATAAGCACATATGAAAATATTTGCAGGATTAAAGCCTAAAGTACTACTCATCAGAAACTGGGCACAAATTCTAGCCATAATAGGACCTTCTTGGCACTGAATGAAATGTTCGCAAATGTGAATTCTGTATAACTAACAGGTACGAAAGCAATTTATATGTAAGTACAAATATTGCATAAAGGCACTATGCTATAGGAAGTTATTATCCAGCAGTACAGTTGCACTACTGTATAATAACTGGATAACATAAGCCCTGCTTTAATACATTTCTGTAGGTATCTAAAACATTGCTTTCATTGTTTATATGAGAGTCCCTTAAACTGTTCTAATTGCTAAATTTCTCTTTGCTATAGACAGATGAAAAGGCTGTCTGCTCCACTGAAACATTGTAAGCACTTTTCCATTGCAAGCATCCATTATGCAAAATGAGTGTTACCACCATGTGACTGACAAAAATAAATTATATATGGCCAGAGCATCTAAAAGCTTCCTAGTGGACAGAACTGCATTATATCACTTCTGCTTCTCAGAAACTCCTGTGGTTTCTTTATGTTAATTAACTGTTAGTACCACAGCAGAAAGGTTTGGCAAAGACAGATTTGCTTTATTTGTTATGACATGAAGATCAAAGCAAATATGTCACTAGGCAGAAATGTTAAGAGGAAAAAAGACATAAAGGACAACTTGAAGGTAGAAATGTTTTATTTTATATTCCTATATTATAGTCTGCCTTTTAGGAAGCGGTACACGTGCATGTGAGGTACCACATATGTTGTTTTAGTATGTGGAGGTGTGATACTGTGTTGAGGCCTTGATGAGAAGAATCCTTTGTGCCCACATGGTTGTCAAATCACATGCTTAAATGCTGTCTCCTAAAATAGAGACTGCCCTACATAAACTGTAACCGGAACAGTTAGGTACAATAGTCAATGACTATGTTTATTAACAGCCTGTTTTCTTCCAATGTAGACGGCATATAAGCATCCCAAGAGACTTAACTTTGTGAGAGGTATGAAGCTCTAGAGCAACACCAAAATGCTGAGGTAAATCAAAATTGCAAAACTACACACTGGCTGTTTAATGGCTTTCTAAGTGCAAGGCAGGCATAGAAGTGGAGGCAGCCTGACAAAAGCCCCCAAACACTTATGTCCAATTCCATGTTTATTTTCTTAATACATATGTTATTAAAGAAGATGCTCACAGTACTGCAATGCATTTCCCAACAGAGGCTTTCCGGGCTAGCACTGGAAGGGAGACAGCCTTCCCCTTTTTAGTATAGATATAGCTTTCTCTTTATAGCCTGAGATGTCCTTACCTGAGCCCAAGTCTCTTCAGTCTGCTGTTCCTGTCCAAGGATATATATACACTGCAATCATTCCTGTGATGACTAGATATTATAGACCTATCTGAGCCAGCTATAAATCAGGTGAGTTGGGCACTGGTAGTAGTCTGGTCTTGGCAGCACAGAGCTCAGCATGGATTAATCGCTGGAGTATTTACCCATGGGTTTTGCAGCCTGTGTAAAAAAGGCTGCAGCTAAACTGCTACTAATACTTACGTTTATCCCTGTCTTGGGCATATCCATACTCTGCTGAAGCTACAACAGTGATTCTAGTGTAGACAGATCTCACAAAACAAAGTCTTGTTTCCGAGTTTATGTGGGTGATATGCTTGCTTCATTAGTCCTGTAGTTATTACACTTAAAGGTACGTCTCTTATTCAGATTGAGTATCTTGATACTGCAACCAATGCTTCACTGTCAGTCATTTCTACATCTGAGTTAATATTTTTACATCTGAGTTAAGCTTTTTAGCTAGACTTAGAACAGTTTTCAGGGCTGTGAAATAGAAAAAAGACACAGGGCATTTTTAGACATGTACGCAGCACACGGACATGTCTTAGACATGTCACGTGCATTTGTATCAATGGAGAAATGTGCGTGAGCACTGAAAAACTGGCAGCGATGCACTTTTCAACTAAAACACGTCGAAGGTGTTTTAGTTCAAAAGCGCACCACCTCCATTTTCTCAGCGCTGGCATGCATTTTGCCATTTACACACATGAATGCGACCCAGCACCAGGCATATCAGCTCCCATGTGGAACAGACGCGATTCATTGAGTCTGCTCCGATGTGGCGCATTTCCAGCCTGTTGCAGTACGAAAAGGTATAAATGCCCACTACCAGGAATGGCTAACAGACAGCAAAATTGCAGAGGAAAGGACTGCCTGAAGAGTGGAACGTCCTTAAAAAGGAGAGAGGGTCCTTAACACCTGGGGAGTGGAAAGAGGAGATTATAATAAGCCATGAAGTCCACCGACTCTCAGAACTGTGTGAATAGAAAAGCCACTACCCTTCCCAGAAAGCTGGTTTTAAAATGTGGGAGTAGCGGGAATCAAAGGAGAGGTGCAGCTGCACCAGTGGACCCCTCCTGTATCCACTCCTGTATTCGAGACTGTGTAAACTCGTCAAAAACCCCGCAGGCGGGCCGGGCCGGGCGGCGCGCGGGAGGGCGGCGGGTCGCGCGGGTGGAACCCGCTTCCAAAGTAAACACGGGGCGGTCCGGCCCCGCCTGCGGGGATGGCGGCGGCGGCCGGGGGCCGGAGCAGCGAGCACCGCTGCATCACGCAGTGGTAGGTGCCGCTCCGTTGGCCCTGCTAGGGGGCATTAAGGATGCCCAGCTGGGGTGGGGGGTGGAATATCTCCAGCAGCAGGAGGCAGCAGGGCTGTGTCCAGCAGAGCACAGGGGTCCGGGTGCACGGCAGGGCCCGGGGCAGGTAGGGGGCCCAGGATGCCCTCACCCTGGCACCCGAGCACCCGTCTTTTGGGCTGGCCGTGTCCTGGAGGGAGCTGAACCCCCTTGCTGAGGAAGCCACGTGGCCAGTGCCGTAGCAGGGAAGTTTGGGGCCGGGGGCACACAGACCCAGGGGGCACGTGCCTCCCCATGCTTGCCTGCACCCCCCACCCTTGTGGCTCTGTCCCTGCCTTGGCTGGGCAGCACCTGTTGGTGCCCCATTTGCTTTGGCGCCCAAGGGGGTTGCCCCGCTCCCCCCCCCCCCAACACTGTGCATGGCATGGGGGTGGCTGGTTGAAGGGGAAAGTGCCCTGGTGTGGTTTCAAACATACATGGGTGGATACGGGCAGGCTGGCCGTGCTCAGGGCGGCAGTTAGAGGCCCAGATCCAACAGCGAAGGCGGTATCAGTGGTCTCTTGATGTTATCTTTGCTGGGGGGTGGATGTGTGGCCAGATGCGGGCGTAGTGGTGGACGTTCTCCTTGGGTAGAGTCATAGCGAAGCAGGGATGGAAGGGACCTCCAGACATCATCTAGTCTAGCCCACAGGTCACAACCCAAAAGTGGGTTGCGAGAATATATGAAAGGGCCACGAGCAAACTTAAAAAAAAGGATCAAGAAACTTTAAAAATGGATTCTCCTCTAAAGGAGAAAAACATGGGAAACCATGGCTTTTCCCTTGCTGGTTGACAGGCTTCAAACTTGCAAGGGGCTTCTTGGCACCCCCCTGCCCTACATTCTCACCCCCTGCTCCACACACTGGGCGGCAGGGGGCAGAGGGTAGGGAGCGAGGGGCAATGGGTCAGGATTGGCCACTGATGTTTACAAATGGGTCCTGATACAAAAAAGGTTGAGAACCACAGATCTAGTCCAACCCCTTGCCTGAGGCAGGATCAGCGCTACCCAAACCATCCCATAGAATCATCATCCAAACTCTACCTAAGACTACTATGAACCCTGATTCAAGACAGTCCTAACACCCTAACCCACCACAGGTAAAGCAGGGCCATGGCAGCCAATGGGATTTTTAATTGGACTTTCCAGATTTCTATGCCTCTGTCTGTCCCACGTCCTGCAATTCCCAGTTGGCATAGCACAACTTGATGGGAGGAGGGAACCCTGTGTAAAGGTGCTGGCTTTTTTAAAACCTGGGAATGGAGGGTAATATAACCTAATAGTAAATCAGCATACCAGCAGTCTGTCAAGAAAAAAAAAGTGTATAAAATTGATGTTACCTGTAGTTTGACTATTCTAACCATCCCCTGTATAGTTTGACTGTTCTAACCATCTGGCTATTCTCTGGAAATGTTTGGTTTCCTTTCTGTTTCCCTCCATCATTTTTGGGCTGATGATCCATCTTCGGCAGGGGTGTGGTATTTGCTTTCTTAATTAACTATATCACATCCACCATGTTTGATTTTAGCTTTGAAAATGACAGCACAGGCCATCCTCAGACTTACGACACAATTGGTTCCTGAAAACTGCTTCTTAAGTCAAAACGTTGCAACTCGGAACCGATTTTCCTATAAGAAACAATGTTATAAATGGGGGATTGGTTCCTGAACCAAGGCCCAATACCCTATTTTCACCAAAAATAACCCAGAATTTTGTACTCAATCAATTATAGATGAGTAATATAGCTACATTAATGTATTTCTATTGTAAATAGCAATTATATTGATTTGGAAGGACCTCTTTGAGGGGACTTTGCTGGACTTTTTGAAGGGCTCTTAGTTGGGCTTTTTGAAGGGTTCTTGGCTGGAGTCTTCTCAGGAGTCTTGCTTGCAGGTTTTTCTGGAGTCTTGTCTGCTTTCTTAAAGAAATTATCTAAGGAAGTTTGGACAGATGTTCTCCAGGGAGAGGGGTGATATGGCGACCTTGTTCTCTGGCGTGGTGTCACATTGGATCAAGCATTGCAAGTCAAAATTGGCATCAAAGTTGAAACAGGGTGTCAATTTATAAATGTTGTAAGTGTGAAATGTTGTAACTCGAAATGTTGTTAAGTCGAGGACTGCCTGTACAGCACATTCAGGGATATTGAATTGACACAATCTACCAACCTCACCTCTTGATGTGCCCTATTATAGTCTTTTAATGTGTTTACTCTTCCACACCAACCCTCTGCAGGGTAGAGAAATACTATTATTTCCATTTTACAGAAAGAGGGACCCAGATACAGAGAGAAATTAAGGGTATACCTACACAGCAAACCCCAGTGTAATATGCAACTTAGCTTGAACTGAAAGAGAAAAAAAGATACTAATTAGCTCTGCTGAAAAGGAGGCAAGGAGGACTGTGCTAACCAAGCTGTTCTGCCTTTGATATGTAAGCCATCTTATACAGGGCTAACTTTGATATCTTTACACAGTTCTGCTCTATGCCACCTACACAAACCCTAAATGACTTACTGAGAATAACACAGGAAGTCAGGCAGAACAGAGGACAGAATTTAATTCTTATACCAGCACCCAAATCACTCACTGGCCATCCTTTCTCCACAGTGAACATGTAGATCACCCCTTTGTATTCTTTCTGGAACAAGTTTCTAACATTTTTGTTTGATTTGATATTGGGTACCCTGGCAAAAACAAAACACAAAGCTTTTGGTCCCCATATAATATGTAGCATCCCCAGAAAAAATGGAGTCCTTTTAATGTACTTTTTGAGAAGCAGTTGAATAAAAACTTCTGCCAGAGAACTAGCCAGAAGGCAAAAGATAAATCCGTACATGCCTCCCCTGTTTTCTCTCTCTTTTCTTTCTCTCCCCCACTTCTTTTTTGATTGACTTTGTTTTAATTCAGAGGGGCAGGTTGCTTCAATGTGTGTCATAAATAGCCATATGCTGGGAATATTGCAAGTAATATGTGAAAGCTCTCTTCTTGAGCTTCTCTTGTAATATAGCACTTTGGTACTTGATCTGCATTTTGGCAGGTAGAAGGTTTTCAGTTTGTTGTAAGAAAAAGAGAGAGACAAAGTTTAATAGATAAAAAAGTAATCAAATACCATGTTAAAGATAGCTGCGTGCAGAGACAAAGCTGTTAGCCAAAACCATTACTGAAGTACAAATTAGTCTGTTGTGATTCCATTGACTCAGGAGGTGTTATACCTAGGGTAAATTTGGACCCAGGCTTAATGTCTGAGTTTTACTTACTAGAGTTTGGGGGTGGGGTTTTTTCTAAAAGAAAGGAGGATTAATGGATATGGGGAAGCAGGGCATAGTCTGGAGTCTTACCTATAATGAATCCTACCTATGGTATGTTTTCAGTTCCCATGATGGAAGAACTCCCCACTAAGGCAACGTGCCTACTCCTTGTCCCCTGCCTATCTTTGGCGCTGGTTTCTCTTCCCTGCCAATAATTGTGAAGCAGTTTACATCAGGTGATGAGGAATTGGCAAAAAGCCCAGAAATAGCTTGGGCAGGGAGATGGAGTAAGCGGTGCTATCGCATGGCCTAGCAACATGAGGCTGCCTGGTTGGTTGGTGGGAGCATAGACTAAATTAGGTGAGAGCCAAGGTGTTTGAGGCCTCTTTACAAGGGAGAGAGCAGATGTGGGAAAAAGTTAGAAGTCCTTCTGTAGGAAAAGGATGGGCAGCAGGAGTAGGAAGCTGAGCTGAAACAGGTCCAGTCCCTCATCTTAGAATAACTCAATGTTAATATTGCTTGCTCAGTTATAACAAATAGAATCTATTGCAGTCAATCAGATAGTTGGAGACCTTACCCGCTACCTATTGATAAAAGTTAAAATGATGAATGCTAGCTAGTCTGAAGCTGAGCTATTAATAAATAAAAACATGGAATGCTGTTTTAAAACTGGCATTCATGTCTAAGCTGGTACCTATGATAAATTCTGTTTTCTAAACCAGTGTGAACATCAGTAAAAGTGATGTTGTCAGTAACTGGCATTCTGCTGTACCAACATTCAGCAGATAAAATAATTAAATCTACTGAACTCATTTGGCATAACAGAAGTAAAGTCACTGTAATAGAACATTGTCACAGGATCAGTGTGTCATGCTTTGAAAATTAATTTCTTCTCTGCCTCAACATTTATTTCCCACAAATGCTTCAGCTTTGCATATGTATTTGTGCTGCAGGATGCTATTATCTGCTGACAGTGTTTAGTTCTTTTGGCATTATGTCTTAAATAAAGAATATTTTTGTCTGGCAGTAATAACAACTTAAGCTAATGAGAAAGTAAGATCAAATCTTCCTCACCTTACTCACTTGAGTAGCTTTATTTATGTTACTAAGATAACTCAGGCAAGTAAATTAAGCACAACTGGCTAGTCTAGATGTGCTTAAATATTAATGGTTGGTCCAGGAGTGCTACTTGGGGCATCTACACATGCATTAATGCACCTTTTCTAATGTGCAATAAAATTTAGTACTTCCAGGGTGAGATACTAAATTAATGTGCATTAGGCTGCACTAATGTGCGGTAGCACATTTGCACACTTTTTTTAGTGACAGTGCACAGTAGACTGTTTTACTATGCATCAGCATAAACTCACCATTTTTACATGACACTTTAATGCACAGTAAAATAGTCTACTGGACATTAAAGTGCACATGTAAACGTGCCCACTAAGTAGTAATTTCAGGCCAAATTCTGTTTTCTTTCATACTTGTATTGCAACTGTTTGGTTTGCAGTAGTGTATGGAATTTGGCACTTGCTAATCTAGTGGGTTCTAATTTTTATGCCTAACCCAAAATATCCTGTGGTACATTATTCTTAAAGAGAAAGCAACTACCTAATATACTACATTTATTATAGTGGAGGATTTGTAGCTTGCACCATACATTAGAAAATCATTTTTTCCCCATTTTAGAGACAATGATTTTACGTGACAATTTTAACCTCATTGTGATATTAGGTAAACTATATTTTATCATTAAAACCTGTACAGTATCTGATGGCATGCTGCTCAATAAAGTATATTCATATAGACTCTTTGATACAGAACCCACCGTATCTTGAAGTGGTAGTTTCAGGGAACCTGAAAGTAACAATGATGTACCATTGCCTACAGAATATGGTTCTACTTAGAATTAGTAGACCTGATTCTGATCTCATTCACACTGCTGGAGATAAGGAGCAACTGAACTGAAGTCAGTGGAGTTGCACCAGTGTAAATATGGTGCAATATCAGAATCAGGCAAATAACCTTCTTGTCTTGATATAAACTGATCTTCTTGTACCATTTAATTTTAAAGGATTGCTGATCATTTCTACATGTGTGAAGGATGCAGCGTACCTCGTTGTCTGTTATATGAAATGTACAGAGAGAACTGCAGACATTATGATCAGAACCAAGTAAATCCAGCTACATTTGGAAAGGTACAAAGTGTTCTTCTTTACAACAGATATATTATAAAAGATAATGCATCAGGCCCTTGTAGAGGGCCTTGTGATTATGAATAGAAAAAGTTGTACAAAACATGAAATTTGGTTTGAAAGTTTTTTATTTAGTTTGTTAGTATAATTTATAGACTTCCTGAATGTGCAAATTTGTGTAAAGATACCCTTATTTTGGATTAAGAATGGTTCATTTGTTTAATTTAATCTGGTCCTTCACAGGATTAGGTTAAATCAAAATAAATATATCTTGAGGAATAAGACATACATAGTTATGCCAGTTTAACTAAAGTGGTTTTGAAATATACGTTATTAATTGGTCTGAAGACAAGACAAGGAGAGAAGTCATGATTTATTTTTCAAGAGTTTTTTTTCTCAAAGTGTGTTTGAAGCCAAGGTAAGTTTTAACATTGACTTCATTGAGGCCAGAATTTCATCCGAGACAAATAGGGCCAGATTCTATTCTACCTGTTAAGTATTTAAGTGGACTTGACCACCTAAGTGCAATTTCATTCCCCCCCCCCTTCTGTCCCCTTCCCCATTCATGTCTCTGAAAATCCATTAATCCATCTACTTTTGTAATACACCATCATCTTGCCTTTAAGGCGAGTCACAAAATACAGTGAGAAGTCCTCATGCACTTATTTGCATTTAGTGCTGTGCTGCAACTCTTGTTGCAAAAATGGCCAGTAACATACTGTTCTGTATTAATAGGAGCATGCCTTGTAAATTAAGTGATTCTTCCACTCTATTTGGCACTGATGAGGGGTTACTTGGAGTACTATGTACAATTCTGGGCTCCACACTTGAAGAAAGATGTGGACAAATTGGAAGGAGTCTAGTGGAAAGGAGCAAAAATTATTAGAGGTCTGGAAAACATGATCGGTATGGAAAGGCTGAAAGACCTGGGATTATTTAAATGAGAAGATTGAGGGGAAATTTGATAACAGTTTTCAAATACCTAAAAGGTGATTATGAAGAGGATAGAGACAGATTATTCCCTGTTGCAGGTGCTAAAACAGTAAGGAATGGTCTTAAACTCCAGCAAGGGAAACTGAGGTTGGATATTAGGAAGAATTTTCTCACTATAAGAGCATTAGAACAGGTTATCCAGAGAGACTGTAGAATCTTGTCTTTTTTTGTTATGTTAAGTTTTAAGAGCCTCTTAGACAGACTCTTGACTGGAAGGGTTTAGTTAGGGACCATCTGAGTAGGGCAGGGCAACTAGGAAGGTGCCCCAGATGCTGACTTAGGGAGGGTGGGGGCAGAAAAAAAAAAAAAAACACTGCTGCTGTAGGCAGACAATCACACTGTCAGTGACAGGAACTAGAAGTCACCACTGGCCCTGTGTGGCAGCTGCTATAGACACCTCCCCATATTTTTACACTGGAGGTCAGGGATGACCCTGCTTTGGGCAACGGGTTAGACTAGAAGGTCTTCCAAAGTCTCTTCGAGCTCTTCTTTTCTAAGATTCTGAGATTCATATATAACCCTGCTTCATGCACAGTTGAAGTTGGAGCAGTTTTGCTACCTTTGTATTGTTCCTGGATTATGCAGTTGTCCACAGTGCTCCTTACCCTTTTGAAACTGCTCTGCTTATGAGTTTGTCCATGCCCTGTGTAAGCAGGTTGCTAGAAAACTAGGTATTAGTTTGAGAATAGGTGCCTGATAGTGGCAAGGATTAAATATGGAAAATGTAGCAGATAAGTCTTTTTAAACTTTCATGTGAATCACTAAGATAACTCTGTATCTTTTGGGTGTTTTATAGCTTGTTCGTTTAGTTTTCCCAGATTTGGGGACCAGAAGGCTGGGCACAAGAGGCAGTGCCAGGTATGTTGTATTCTTGTTTTACAGCTGTTTGAGGAATAATAAATTAATCAAAAACAGCTAGATATGCAGCTCTGTTGGCGGGATACAGCAATGGAGGTTTGCACCAAATGTGTGTAATTAATCACAGGAACAGTTCCAATGGGATTTACAACAGGGTTCTCCAACTACTGAGCAGCTGGGGACTGCAAGCCACACTACTCATAGGCCTTGGGATGCATGCCATGCAGGTTTCCTGATACCCACACTGCACAAGTAGCAAGAACAGCCTCCGCAGTCACCCCCCTGTGGGGAACGTGGGCACCTCCTCTCTTGCCCACTCAGCCACATGGGCAGCAGACTCACTGGACCCCCTCTTGCCATGCTGCCCTGCCCTAGAAACCCCAGACACCATAGCAGCAGGTACAATAGTGTGAGTGTCAGCTGGCCAGGAGTCTATGGACCATGTTACCCTTTGCTAGTTGGATGTAGTTCAGGGGCCACCAGTTGGAGCACCCTGATTTATGATGTCACCAACAAGCTAAAATAAAAGTTCATTTAGCAAGTCACCATATCCAAGCTATTTTTATTATTATATATAAATTTAACTTCAATTTCTAAAACACCAGGTTCATTGGCTTTTAAAGCTCTGGCTTGTGTCAAGCCGACAGAGAGGCCACAGCCTCGCAGCCCCATCTATAGCCCCAGAGGCATTGTGTCTCAGGGCGGCACAATGATCTTTGGGCTCAGATGAGCACAAAAATGGTGGTTGTGACCAGCCCAAGGGCAGGAGGCTGTAGAGGCAGGGAGCCTCTTCTTCCCTGCAGAATCACAGCTAGCTCTTAATGGAACAGTTATATTAATTAAATCTAAAAACCACAACCCAGCCTGTAGCAAGGCACTGGGATGTGCCTGCTTCTCTGTGAGAGCAAGCAGACTGAGAGGCTGCTTCTAGGTGGCAGAGAAGAGCTAATGAGGGACTCACCTGACCAGAAAAGGGCTCAGACTGGAACTACATAAGCCCAGAGCTGGCACTGGTCAGGGAGACTCTTCCCAGCAGCCATGAAGTGAAGAGCTCTTGGCTCCAGGATAGCAGGACTCCTGAATGGACCTGGATTTGGTTAAACTACACTGCAGGTCTGGGGAACAGAGGCAAGTTCCCTGGGTAGAGAAAGGTGGGATTACAGGCAAGTGGCCTTTGTTTTAGGTTAACCCCAGAGAGTTTGAGGTGCCTACTAGTGGTTCTGAGACCCTGGAGAAGGGGTTGCATGTGAGCTGGGACTAGAGGGTCTGAAAGTTTGGAGGATGGGCTGTGTGTGGGACCAGAGGGTCCAAGAGCCCAATGGGGCCAAGTGTATAAGCTAGGGTACAGCCCCGGGCTGGAGGGTATGCTTGCTGGGAGATAAGCAAAGTTTGCTTTCTTAAAAAGAGGCAGAGGGCTGCTTCTGCTGTTTGTGTTTCTGTTATAGCTCAGGGACTTATGGTTTATGTTACTGTTTACATCGGCAGTTTGGATGGGGACTGTAAGGGGAGGTCCTATTAGCGTCCATGGGACATGCAATAGCTTTGAGCCTTGCCAGGGGCTCAAGGCCCGAGCTGTTGTTAAGCCCAGAGAAGGGCAGAGTGCAAGGGCACAATGAGATAGGGGACCGGGGGCCCACTGCTCTAGAAGAGTGCAGCCATATGGGGGCCAAGGGGCTTGGTGCTCAGAGGAGCGCAGCCATACAGGGACCAGGGGCCCCTGCGCTCTAGAGAAGCGTAGCCATATAGGGGCCAAGGGGACCAGTGCTCTAGAGGAGCACAGCCATACATACAAGGGCCAGGGGGCTCAGTACTGTAGAGGACTACAGCCATACAGGAGCCAGAGGGTCTGGCACTCTAGAGAAGTGCAATGTGGGGGCTGGGGGGCCCAGCAGACAGGGACCTGGTGACCAGGGGGCACAGATTGAAGCTAGTGTCTCAAAGCCAGGTCTGACACCATGGGCCTAGGCTAGAAGGCCTAGCGAGATTAGAGGGGCAGAGGCTGAAAAGGCTAAAGTCCTGAAAGACAGAACAACATTATAGCAACATCCACAAGGCTTGGGGTATGGTGTCGGGAAGGAAAAGGAGCCATGCAATTTTCCCTTATGACTACAGGCATTCTACAGGGGCCTAGTCAAGCTGAGAGGGATCTGTTAGGCCTGAGGGCTGGATTGAGACCCAGTGGGAAATTATTAGGATTAAGGCTCACTCTCTAACACCTGTTGGCAGCCTCCCTTAATTAACCTTTGATATTAAGAACAAGGCATGGTGGGTGAGCAATCTAGGGAGAGTGACAGTTTAAGCTGGACAGGAGCTCCAGAGCTGCTAGGGGGTTTCCACAGCTGCCTGTGTGGCCATAAGACCTGTGACAGATCCCTTGACAGATTTCTCCACAGTTGCCCTTTCCCTTAGCATAAGGGATAGAAAGAATTGATTCCAATGGACCTTTAAACCACTGATTTGATGTCCAAATTTATAATCATCCTTTGTGCATCTTAACAGGGAGAAAAAAATTCTGGTCTTCACAATTCACATGAACATTCTTAATAATAAAGCTGACAGGACCTCTGGTAAAATGTTGACTCTGAGACTAATCTGCTTTTACTTCAATATTATAACAAGACTTCTGCAAGAGTGCCATCCTGTCATTGGCTAGTGCAGCTAAGTTCCTTATACCAAATACCAGGAGCTTACAGTACAAGCCCTATGAGGAGAGACTGGAGGACCTCTTCAGCCTCCACAAGAGAAGGCTGAGAGTTGATCTTGTGGCTGCCTACAGATTCATTAGCAGGGCACAGCAAGGGATTAGAGATGCTCTGTTCACCAGGGCGCCTCTTGGGGTAACAAAGAACAATGGTCACAAACTGACAGACAGCAGATTTAGGCTACACATCAGGAAAAACTTCTTCACAGTGAAGGTGGCCAAAGTTTGGAATGGGCTCCCAAGGGAGGTGGTGCTCTCCCCTACCTTGGAAGTCTTTAAGAGAAGGCTGGATGGGCATCTGGCTGGGGTCATCTAAGCCCAGCACTCTTTCCTGCCCAGGGCAGGGGGTCAGACTCAATGATCTGTTGAGGTTTCTTCTGACTCTAGCACCTATGAATCTATGAAGTGTAGGATCAGTATAGTGGAAGAGCTGCATCTCCACATCCTCAGTCTGCTCTTGATGCATTCCCCTAGCAAACTACTTCGATTGCATTCGTGCCAGCAGAGTGTTACGCATGGAAAAAGGAATTATTTGCTGGCCATTTACAGTAAAAATATTAACTCATTAAGTACTGTTAGCCATCCAGTATATATCAGGCAAAATGGTAGTGTGAAAATGGTACTGCAGGAGCTAGGCAGTAGTGTGAAAAAAAGTATGAACAGTAGTTCACATCACCACCAGCTTTGATAAGAGGTGCCATTTCAAAACACTTGAGATGGAGTACCTATGTAAATAGATGGACAAGTGATTCCCTTAATTGGTAGGTTTTAGTCTACCATGTCTGCATGCTGTGTTGTTAATTAAGAACAATTAAAGTTTTGTTTTTAAAATTAATTGTTTGTAAAGTTTGTTTTTTTTTTTAAAGATTTACAGATATGTACTTATTCAAATATTGGACAAGATATTTTTTTAAATGCTCAGAAACAGTGGAATTGTCTGTCCTTATTTCTGTTCCATTCTAAAGAATTGTCAGCTGCTTGCAGACTATGAATGAAAATTCTGTGTTGATCTTATCTTGCAACTGCATGCTGTTAATTGATCAATTAATTTGTGTGTGTATATGTATTTTAGGTATCATTATGATGGAATTCATATCAAGAGGAGCTCTTCCTTTTATGCACATTATTGCTATCTTCTAAATGAAAAAAAATATCACAGGTTTGAGTTCTAAGTGCTCTTAACTGTAAGAACTTATATTAATGCATTTTTTCATAAAGTCCACATCATTGTCCCCTGAAAAGGAAGATTAAAATTGTCCTTTCTTATTTACCAAATAGAGTCCTTAATACAAAGGCTCATGTTTCAAATAAGTGGCCAAACAATCATACAACTGCACTTCCTTGCCCTTGATTTTTTTCAATATGTAGCTATTGTGGGAAAGAAAAATCTATGCTAGATCAAATACAGAGCCTAACATGCTAAGTGCCTAAATAAAAGCGAAAATAAAAATGGTCATCAGTAGTGGCACAATCCCTAATTAAGTGTTCTGTCCATCTTCATTATTTATCAGTAATGCATACAGAATGTATTTCTACTAATACATCTTTGTGATTTATTGAAAAGCAGGCTTAATTTTCAATCCTTTGTTTCATATTTCTTACAGTTCATGTTAAGAACCATTGATATTTTGAAAATGTTTACTTTGCATTAATGTTTTAGTTAGAAAAGTGACTACAAAGAAAATACAGCATATTAGAAAATATGCAAAATAAAAAAAAGACATTAAATATAAAACCCTCTGAGAATGCAGAACAATTGAAGTGTCCTGAAACCCTAATCTGTAGGCAAAGAGCTTGATCATGCTGCTATAGAAATTGTGGGAATACTGCCATTGACTTCTGTGGAAGCAGAATTAGATCCATAATGCTTATTGCCATGACAAATCTAGACTAATCACAGTAATAAAAACTGTGAATGCTAGTGTTTCCAGGATAGATAAGTAGCAAATAGGAAATCAGTCTCCTGTTAGCCTGAAGGTGGTTTAAAGTCACATCACCCACCTCCGAAGGGAATGCCTGAATTGCCAGGTTATAGGTTAAACTGGGATGGGTGTTTTACACACCTTTTTGAAGCTGAACCTCTGCTTCATTCATTAGACACACAGACACACAGACACACAGACACACAGACACACAGACACACAGACACACAGACACACAGACACACAGACACACAGACACACAGACACACAGACACACAGACACACAGACACACAGACACACAGACACACAGACACACAGACACACAGACACACAGACACACAGACACACAGACACACAGACACACAGACACACAGACACACAGACACACAGACACACAGACACACAGACACACAGACACACAGACACACAGACACACAGACACACAGACACACAGACACACAGACACACAGACACACAGACACACAGACACACAGACACACAGACACACAGACAGTTCAGTGATGACAATATTTATTTGGGAGGGGTGGTCTTGGATTTCAGTCATCTTTACTTTTATTACTGTTTATGTATTTTAAATCAAAAAAAAAAAAAAGTCTCTTGAATATGAAATACAAGAACAGTCTTAAAAGCAGGTACAGGTTTCCCTCTATTTGTGCAGCTTCTCTATAAGCATATTTAGATCCATGATTTATTATATGCAAGGTAAATTTGCTCTTATGTCATCAGCATAGATGCTTCCCCTGCCCAAGAAGGTAAGTCTTTGGGGGGAGGGGAAAGGGCTGTGGCTCCACTCACCCAGCCCCAGCTGCAGCGGTTCCAAGAGTGCCTGGCACCAGCTGCCAACAGTCACTGGGCTGCACCTTACTTCAACTGTCCTCCTGTACTTGGGCTCACCCCAGCTCCTGGGCTGCTCTATCCTGTGGTGCAGGTGGCTGATGTCAGCTGCTCCAGCACAGGTTGGGGTGAGGACAGACAAGCAGAGCCCTGGGCGGTGTGGGGTGCAGTGCTTACCCCAACCCTGCCTGCAGCAGCCCTGGAAGCAGCCAACACCAGCTGCCAGCACCAGGGCACAGCGCATCCCAGGACCAGAGGCGAGTAGAGACAGGTGGAGCATGGCACAGCCCAGTGGCTGCAAGCAGCAGGTGTTGGCCGCTCCCAGAGCCACTGCAGCCAGAGCTGTGGTGAGTGTCATTCTGTTCCCTCTGCTTTGCTACTTTGTGCAGCCCCAGGAGCAGCACCCCTTCCCCCAGCTGTTTCCTAGTCTCAGCCTCACTCCCTCCCTCACCACCATGGGAACCTATCCCTGTTTGTTACATTGTAAAGTGGGTTTGCTTTATGCAAATTTGATTTATGCTCCATTCTCTGGGAATGCATGTACAGCATAAGTTCAGGAAAACCTGTATTAGAACCAAGGACTACTCTTCTCCTCCTACTCTCCTCAGTGGGAGTCGGGCTTCCTCTTACTAGATTTCATAGACATTAGGGCTGGAAGGGACCTCAGAAGATCATCGAGTCCAGCCCCCCGCCCAAAGGACAGAAAGTCAGCTGGGGTCGTAGGATCCCAGCAAGATAAGCATCCAATTTGCTCTTGAAGGTGTTCAATGTAGGTGCTTGAACCACCTCCGATGGCAGGCAGTTCCAGACCTTGGGGGCGTGGACAGTAAAGAAATTCTTCCTTATGTCCAGCCTGAAACAGTCTCGCAGTAGTTTATGACTGTTCGACCTCATCATCCCTTGGGGCACTCTGGTGAACAAGTGTTCCCCCAGATCCTGGTAGTCACCCCGATCAACTTATAGGTGGCCATCAGATCACCCCTGAGCCTGCGCTTTTCCAGGCTAAAGAGCCCCATGGCTCTCAGCCTGTCATCGTAAGGTCTGCTTTCCTGACCTCTGATCATGTGCATGGCTCTTCTCTGGACTCTCTCAAGCTTCTCCATATCAGTTTTGAATTGTGGAGCCCAAAACTGGATGCAGTACTCCATGTGCACTAACTAGTGCTCTCACTCCTCTGTTCCAGCCTCCCATTTCTCCCTTTTCCATGAATCTCCATTCTTTACTAGATAATGGAATAACTTCAACAAAAGGGATGGAGAATTCTTTTATCCCAGTCTAGTCTATAGCTTGGTGGTGAGGGCACTCTCCCAAGAAGGAGAAATGAATTTGAACCCTCTTATGCTAGGAAGGGAGGAAACTGGATGCCCTGTTTTCTGAATGAGTACTTCAATCACTAAGCTATATAAAAAAAGTGGGGCCTACTCTCACCTCCTGCAGCTATGCTTTCAAAGCTGACAGTTCAGCATTATTAATTTAGGAGCCTACCTTTTGGAAGAAGATTCTGGGCTGTGGATTATGAGGAGATGGAGGTGCCTGCTGCCCCGAGTAAGGTGCATATACTCTGGGGAGGATGGGATTTTAGACACAGTTTCTACTGGAAGGCCCTCATTACATCATGCTGGCTGCTTTGGATCCCATGCTGAGAGGCCTCATTCTCCCCATGCACTTTTTAGTATGGGTGTGTGAAGTGGGCAGGCCTTATTTGATTTGGATTTGGCCCGAATCAGGGATAGTGATTCAATTAGTTGATTCAGATCACTGTTCCTGATTCAATTCAGTTGAATCTGAAGGTTCGATCTTGATTTGGAGAATCAGCAATTTGGACATAAACACAGCTTTAAAAGTTTTTCTACATACCTTGAGGTACCAGTGTGGCTTGTGAATACTGCTACGCTGGGGCAGAGGGAGATTCCTACAGGAGTGGAGGGGGAGGGGGGAGGGAGAGTGAGGCGGCCACCTCCACATGCTCAGTGACAAATCCGGAAGTGGACCCTACAGCCCCCAGCTCAGCAATTGGCTGTGGAGGGACCCCCGGTGTCCCCCCTAGACCCTGGATGCACCGGTCTGTCACAGGGTGGGGTGCAGGGGCGGCCGTGATCCCCCTGGTGCCCCTACTGTGCCAAGTCTGGGCCCTAAATGCACCCTCCGTCTCGCCCACCACGTCTTTGATCTTACAGTTATCAGTGGGAGGCTGCCTTCCGACCCCCTTGTGCACAGTGCTATATTTGTACTGGCCCCTGTTCACTAGTGAGTGATATGGTACACCCCAGCCTTATGGGCCAGGCATGCCTCCTGCCTCCCCAAGCCTTGCAGTTGTCCCAGACGTTTTTATGTTGGTGTGGTGGCCCCCTCCCGGGCCCTTCAATACATGCAGCCCCTCCAGGCTCTGTCCCGCACGCCCTGCCCTCTCCAGGCTCTGTCCTGTGTGTCCTGCCTCGCCCTTTCTTGGGGCTTCTGCTTGTGTAATCACCCTCTTTGGGCTTTGAACCGCACGCCCTGCCCTCCTCGGGCCTCTACCGGCATGCTCGCCCTATTCTGGGCTCTTACACTGGCCCTCATCCCTTTATGGGGCTTCCTCCTAGGCTCACTCCATCTCAGGCTTCCTAAAGGGACTTTTCCCCCTTCGGGGGAACACCTCGTGCTCTTCCCGCTTTTGCCCTGCTAAGCCTTGCTCGTGCTCCTTGCCCTCTCTGGAGCCTGTCCCGTACCTCTTGCGCTTGGGGCTCAGGTGGCCCATAGCCACGCCTGGCCCCTTGACCCTTCTCAGGTTCCTTCGCCCTACTGGGCAAAATACCGCCCTCACGGGCTGGGGTCTCAACCCCACACACCGCGCCTCTCCGGCACTCTCCCGCCACACCAGCTGTGGCACCAATCACTGTGCCCTCGCTGGCACTGCTTGCTGTGCCCCTACTGGGCACCAGGAACCCCCCTGAGCTACTGGGGGGCTCCCATGAGGCCTCCTCACACCCCTACAGCCTCACCCAGTCTTCCAGTGTAACATCAAACCCAACGATAAACATAAAGCCCTGAGCCCACCGGCTGCAACACAAAAATCAGCCTACCGGCTATAACAGAATCTAGGCCCACCTGGCTCTCCTGTAAAGTCTCTCCATCAGGGTTGTCTCTCCCCTTGCCATATTGCAGCCCTTTGAGTGGTCAGGCTGCTCCACTAGGCTCAACTCAGCAGCAAAGCTCTTATTCCTCAGGCTGCTAGATAGTAACTACCAGCTAGGCTTCAGCCTAGCTGTTTATATAGGCCAGGCCCTGCCCCTGGTGGTCAGCTGACCCAATCAGCTGCTATGGCAACTCTCACCTGCTGCCCTGGTGATTGGCAGCTCGGCCCATATTACTAATGCCAGTAGCAGGCACTCTAGTGCCCTG